CAAGGGTTCCTACCAAAAGGACTCTTATGGAGACCACAATCCAGCATTAGCTGGAGATCCACGCAATCAAACCTGTGCCGTCGGGTCAACAAGGGCAAGGTTTTTATTCACATCTATTTGTGGTCCCAAAATGTTCGGGGGGTTGGAGAGCCATTCTAGATTTAAAATGCCTGAATTGCTTCCTGGTCTACAGGAGATTTAAGATGAGCTCCTTGCAATCAATCCTCCTCAGTATCAGACAAGGAGACATCTTAATGTCAATAGACTTTAACAGAGGCGTACTTACACATTCCAATCAGACCCTCGCACAGCAGATTCCTGAGACTCTGTTATAATAATCACCATTTTGAATATATAGCCCTTCCTTTTGGTTTAGCTTCTGCCCTCAGAACCTTTACAAAGGTTCTGGCGGCGTTAGCAGCCTATCTTAGGAGTCAGCCTGTCAGATTACAATGCTATCTCAACAACATATTAATTTGTCATTGTCAAGCCAACAAGCTAAACTAGATACTCATGTCACCCTACAAGCTCTACAAGAGCATGGATTTTCAATAAATCGGGCCAAGAGTCATTTAAAGCCTTCAACTCGGCTTCTGCATTTGGGAACCATCATTGATACAATGGCTGGGAAGGTGTCCCTATCTCCAGATAGACAGAAGAGCATTAAGCAGTTGTCAAAAGAGATTAGAACTACCAGAAAAGTATCCCTGGCCCAATTATCCAAACTGCTAGGAAAAATGATATCCTGCATTTCTATTGTTCCTTGGGCCCGACTCCACTCCAGAACCCTCCACCCTTTTCATTTAAAATTTCTTCATATCTAATAATATGTTCCTTTTTTAAAAGCTGTGGATATGTAAAAGCTTCTAATGTTAATAGCCAGACTGGTATTTTCATATAGTGATAATCTCTTATTTTTCCCCAAACTGTTAATAGAGCATCCCTAATGTAATGTCTCCTAAAATATCCATGTACCTTACTTTCTTTATACCATAAAAATGCATGCCAGCCCAATTGTAAATCATGCCCTTCTAGCATTAATAATCTGGCATTTTTCAATACAATCCATTCCTTCATCCACATCAATATTGTTGCCTGATAGTATAGTTCCCAATTGGGTAATCCAAAACCCCCTCTCACCCTTGCGTCCTGCAGTAATTTTGTCTTAATTCTTGTCTTTTTCCCCTGACAAATGAATTTCAACATCATTTTATTTAAGCCTTCAAAGTATTTTTTTTCAGTCTTATTGGAATCGTCTGAAATAAATATAATATTTTTGGCAATATGTTCATTTTAATTGTCGCTATTCTACCTATTAAAGATAGTTGTAAGTTTTTCCATTTTTCCAAGTCTATCACAACCTGTTGTAGTACTCTCTCGCAATTATCTTCTTTAAGTGTTCCACATCTAGCTGTCATTTGTATCCCCAAATAGTTCACTTTTTTGTGAATTGATTATTTAATTTGTCCATTAATATTTTCTTTTGTTTTTCTGTCATGTTTTTTGCCAAGATTTTTTTCTTTATTTTCAATCCTGCTACTTCGCCAAACTCCTCTATTTCTCTAATCAACTTAGGGCCTGTTTCCAATGGTTCTTCCAATATAAAAACCAAATCATCTGTGAAAGCTTGTAATTTATATTCTTCTTTTTATTTTCATTCACTTTATTTCTTCATTTTTCCTAATATTTCTATTCAAAACTTCCTAAGTCAATACAAACAATAATGGGGATAACGGACATCCTGGTCCCTTTTTGAATGCTAAAATTTTCTGTCAATTCTCCATTTATCATTATTCTTGCTGTTTGAGGGGCAACATGTCCTAATCCTAACCGACAATGTGGCCACAAAGGCCCATATAAACAAGCAGAGGGGCACCCATTCAAAATCACTGATGAGAGAGACAGAGAAGCTGTGCCACTTGGCAGAGAGGAACTTGATCTCCATCAAAGCGGAACACATCTCGGGACAGTCAAACACCAAGGCAGACTGGTTGAGCAGGGCCAATGTCGACCATTCCAAGTCGTGCCTGCACCCGAGACTGTTCCAGGAGATGTCACATCTGTTTGGCCAACCGATCATAGACCTCTTTGCCTCACCCATCAATGCACAGCTCCCGGGGTTCATCTCAAAATTTCTGACACAAGGAGTGGAGAGAGTCAACGCTTTACGCTGTCGCTGGCCTCGAGTTCTTCTCTATGCCTTCCCTCCCCTTCCACTGATTCCAAAGGAAATACAGAATCTTCTAGAGGAGAAAGCGGAACTGTTGTTAGTTGCACCTTATTGGCCAAGATGTCTATGGTTCGCGGATCTCAGGGATCTGTCAATATCAGACCCATGGAGAATCCCGCCAGAAAGAGTCTCGCTCACACAGGGTCCAGTTCAACATCCGGACCCACAATAGCTGCACCTAGCTGTATGGCGCTTGAGCAGAGATGTCTGAAAGGCAAGGAACTCTCCAGTAAAGTCATCTCTACGATCCAAGCAGCCAGGCGTCTGTCAACGAACCGTATATACAACGCCACCTGGAATATCTTCTGTAAGTGGTGTGACAAGGTGAAAATAGACCCCATATCTCCATTGGTGGCACAAATATTGGACTTTCTTCAGGAAGGGTTGAACAAAGGACTCTCACCAAACACTTTGCGTAGACAGGTGGCAGCTCTAGTCTTGGTCATTACTTGTGGTGAACTAAGATCCATCGCTCATCACCCAAGAATTCACAGTTTCCTCCATGGGGCCACTAATTTAAGATCACCAGTGTTCCATAGATACCCCACCTGAGTTCTAAACAAGGTTTTCACAGCACTCACAAAACAATCTTTCGAGTCTCTGAGAACCACAAGTCTCCACCTACTTACATACAAGGTGGTATTTTTAGTAGCGATAACATCTGCAAGATGAATTTCCAAGCTTGCCACCCTATATGTGAGACAAGATCTCTGCATCTTCCATTCTGACAGAGTTGTCCTTCATCTAGATCCAACCTTCATTCCCAAAATTAACTCGACCTTCCATAGAGCTCAGGAATTGATACTCCCCAACTTCTGTCCTAGACCATCTCACGATCTAGAGAGACAATGGCATCGATTATATGTGAGATGTGCACTCAGAATATATATAGACAGGACTGCATCTTTTAGGAAGAAGGAGGCACTCTTTGTCTCCTTTCAACCAACTAATCAAGGCAGGAATGTTACATCATTGACTGTTGGCAGGTGGCTACGGGGCACTCTTCATCTCCTTTCAACCAACTAATCAAGACAGGAAGGTGACCTCATCGACTGTTGGCAGGTGGCTACGGGCCACAATTGCAAAGACTTATGAGTCTCAATTATTACCTGTACCTAAAGGCATTATGGCACATTCAACTAGGAGTACTGCAACATCAGCTGTTTGGGCTACTCAAGCGTCGATAGAAGAAATATGTAGGGCAGCAACGTGGGCTTCACCATCGCCATTCATAAGGCACTATAAATTTGACATTTTTGCTTCCGCTGAAGCAGCCTTTGGCAGACAGGTATTACAGTGGGTCCACACGTAACAAGAGGGGACTCCAACCAGACGGAGACCCTCTCGAAGGACATGCCAAGCTTTGGTATGTCCCATGTCTGGATGCTCTGAACAGCTCATCTGGATAAAGGGCATTGGTACTTACATGATACGCCTATTCTCTGTGAGCTGTGAAGAGCATCCAGCCCCACCTTTATTGGATACTTTATTGTTTAAATGCTCTTTACGGTAATTGTTTTATAATTTTAGAATTGTAAACCTCCCAGAATCACTTGGTTGAGTTGGGCAGCTTTAGAAATTGAGTAAACAAACAAACAAACAAACAAATCAGGGCAATGAAATTATTATATATAGATAGTGCCCAGTTAGCGAACACAATTGTGACTGACAGTTTGGTTGCTAAATGGAAAATCATGTAACTGGACTGTGTTTATGCTTTTATTTCAGCTTTCCTTTCTCTACACTTTTTCAACCTTCAGAATGCTCGTCCCAGCATTGGGATAATTAGCAAGAAGGGAAATAATGTTTGAATTTACAATCATTGGAGGGGAGTAAGTTTATTCTCTTGTAATCCAACCTCTCCAGTGCCTCTCCTTTGCAAGGTGAGGTGGGGAAAGGAGGAAAAAAATGGGTGAAGCACAGGAGCGATTGCTTAAAGAGATTATGGGGAAGGAAAAAAGTGTAAAGCAGAGGACAACATATAATTGACTGTAATGGTGAACTTGACTGAGAGAGAAGCTGTGAATGTCATAAATGCACATCTTGTTTGCAAAACTACTTTTTCAGCACTGTCATAACTTTGAATGGTTTATTACTGAAGCCAGTTGGTAAGCAAAACCTACCTATACTGAAAAGTTACTTTCCTTGTTTTAAAATGTATTACTGAGGAATATGCAACATGGTGTGCTCTACTTGTTAGGCTACATATTCAATGATTTTTGACTCCTGTATTGATTAAACTTTCTGAGATTTAAACTAATCTAAAACATCTGGAGGACACTGTTGCTACTTATCTTTGGGTGAAAAAAGAAGAAAAGTAATAAATATACATACAGGAAGTTTATCATCATAGTCATTTATAATACATTGTTTTTTGGGGGAATCTTTGACAGGAAGATGTTTTGATCTACTGATTTATTGGTGAGGGAAGAGTGTGTTTGTGTTTTGCAGAGGCACTTTTTATCCTTGTAATCTAGAATGTCATCTCCTGAACTGATGCTAAAAGATTTGATGGGGTTACTGCCAGGAGCTGCAAAGGAAAGGGATCGTAAATGACCTTTCGTCTGTTCTTGGAAATCTGTCAGCATTTGGATTCAACTGAATATAATTTTTTTATTCCAGCTCATCTTCACACATACTTAATTATTTTTCTCCTAAGCAATGGAGTAAGTGTATATGCATGTGTGAGAGGCTGAATGTGCATGTATCTATATGTATTTTATAACAGAGTATTTTGCTTCAGCATGTTATAAAAATATTATTTTTCTAGAATGCCAACTAATGAAAACAGAGCGACCAAAACCGAACACATTTATTATTCGATGTCTTCAGTGGACCACTGTGATAGAAAGAACATTTCATGTAGATACTCCAGAAGAACGGTGAGAAATAAATCCAAGTGTGTCTTGTTGGGCTTTTTAAATGTTGGCAGTTTTTAGAAGAAAAAATGCATTTTGAGAATTTGTGTTCATTTATTGAAATTATGAGCTAAAGTATTCCTAATTCATAGGTAACAGCTACAAACGAATTATAGCATTTAATTGTGATTTAAAATACTTGAATTGTGTCAGATGTTTAAGGTAGGCGAAGTCAAGAAACCGAAGCAGCAGAACTGCAGAAGAGCTTTCTGTTAACATATAATAGAAAAAAACAGAATGTTGAAGGCTTGTGAAAGTTTCTATCTTACATCAAACAAAATCAAGGCAGGGTTATTTTGAATTTCTCTCTTATGTTTTCTTCTTTTCCAAGATAAAGTTGTCTTTTCTGATCTCTAAATAGTTTATTATCCTCTTGCCCCTTCCCAAGCTCAATACTTCATATTACTTCCTCTACCAGTATCATATGTCCCCTCCTGCACATGGTAATGGGCCAGATAACTCATCAAGGGCAATGGGCAAATAATCATTTTTGTGTGAAAATGGATTTAGCAGCTTGTCAAGGTCAGTAAATAAATCTGATGAAAATGGAGATGGAATTGGAAAGAGCACAGCAACTGAAGAATCTGACTTGGCAGGGAACAAAGAATCTTCTTCATTCTAGAGTCAATATTTGGCAATTCTGAATGTAGTTCACAGAGACAGGTTTCGGATGAAAATTTCAGATAGAACTGGCAGTTAATCCTTTGCTCCCTCTTACAACCCCTTCAATTCAGGGTATTCAATTCAGTTATTCTACATATCCCTTCCTATAACTGGAGTCCACAGTATGTTCTGCTATGTATTCCTTTCTTCATTTACCAGGACACAAGGCAGAAGGCAGGTCCTCTTGGACCAGTGAAATACCAGATGAATCTTTGCTAAAGCAGGCAACTGCACAAAGAAGTTCACTGGGCTAATCTGATGTGTAACAGGGAAGAGGTATAGAAAACAAAGAAGATGACCTTGACAGAGAAAGGGAGGATCTGTTATCAAGACAACAAACATAAACATTGCATAAACACAGACAACTGCGGATTGGTATGAAATTGTCTCAGAGATACACCTCCAAATTCATGTGAAAATAAAAAAAAAGAGGAGAATTTACAAAGATTTACAAACTTCTGTTATAGGCCCTTAATAAAATAGTTTTTGGCATGCTGGCATCCGTTTCTTGGTCTGGTCTGTCTTACAGGGTTGTCATGGGCTAATAAGTTTGACTCTAGCTTTTTGGATAGGTGAGAGGAAGCGAGAAATGCAGTGGAAAACAACAAACATTCTTTTAGAATCTTGGTGTCCTCTTGCCTATGGGCATCTGCTGCTCATTTGTACACAGCCTTGGCTAAAGCTAACTACTTATTTAATGAAAGTTGTGTAGTTTATGTCTCTTGGTGAAAACCAGAGGCTCAAAGAACAATGGAGGCAGGAGTGGAGGGCAAAATCCGTAGGTGATAGCTGTAGGGTGCTTGAAAGGCCAACACACAATTGGAGGAATGTGGTGAGATGTTATACACAGATTCTGCAAAATGCAATAAATCAGTCCAATTATCTAGTTAATGAGAAACATAGCAAATAAGGTGTTCCATTTTCAAAATTTGGGTATAAATTAAAAGCCACAATCTAATATCTCATAATTGAGTGAGCAGCTGTATCAGAAAATGTGATCTAGAAAGAATTATGTAGTCTCTTGAGCAGATAGATCTTGCATGCAATAAAATGAACTATTTGGATAACAAATTCTCTGCCACTAAATTGGTTGCACACCTAGAAGAATAGTAATAAAATCTAGGGACACTATGTTCTTATTTAAATTATTATTATTGTGGTTGGTTGCACAGTCAACCAGATATTAAGACTAGACTTGGCATTTTTATCCACCTATTAAACCCTTCCCAAGGTTCTGTGATAAGCAGGTGTTGTTTGATGGCATTAAAGGTATCATCACATAAGATAAGCTGTTCCAAGTAAAGCTGCTTTTTGCAGTTGACAATGATTTTATCAATGCCAGTAGTGTTCCAATGGTGCCCCAGATGTTTTATGATTACATGCCAGGCACCTCTTGGTGCTGTGTTTCCTTTCTTTTTGCCAGTTATTCTGTTAATACTTGCACTTTGTTCTCTTATCTTCTATTCTGCTATCTCCAGTACTGCAAAGTCCACTATCTAGATTTTTCTTCTTTCTTATTGACAATGATTAAAATATGGGTTTTGTTTGAATTCTAAAGTATTATTATTATTATAATTGATCAGTCTGCATTTGGAAATCTAATAATATTTTAATCTGCTCATTTTTTACTTTTTCAATTATATGTTCCCACCAATTTTTATTACTGACAGATGGTAATTTTACAGATGTTCTGGTGAATCATTTTGATGACTGTATTAAGTCATTGTTTATATTCAGTTTGTTGAATTTCTTGCATGACTTAAGTATATGATCTGTTTCTTCTGCTTCTGTGCACAATCTGTACTTTGAATCATTTGACAATTTTTCAGTTCTGGCCATGATTACATTAGTTCAAACAGCTTGCTCTTGCACAGCCAAAATCAAATCTTCAGGGTTATGTTCCAGTTGTAAGCCATTGCCAGACTTTATCTTTATCCACTTTCTCCTAAATCTTTTTGAGAAATTGACCAGGTAATGCTTTTCCCTGCTAGCATCCTATTTGTATATGTTACATCATTTTGATATTAAGTTTTTGCTTCCTGCACATTTACTAAGCTTCAGTTTTTAGCTTGATCAATGCTTGTTCTTGGCTGTTTTTTACATAATCAGCTAGTGCACATTTTTCTTAGAATTAACAGAATTGAAAGGGACCTTGGAGGTCTTCTAGTACAACTCTTGCTCAAACAGGAGATCCTATACCATTCTGGTCAAATGGCTATCTAATCTTTCTTGGAAATCTCAAAGGATGGTGCACCTACAACTTCTGGAAGCAAACCATTCCACGGATTAATTGCTCTCATAAACCGGTCCAGGATCTGATTTTTTAAAAATATAAATGATACTGTGCTTCAGGGGTTAGATGGCATAGACGTTGGTATTTGAACATAGAGCTTTTAAACATATTTTATTGTGTTTTACTAATCTAGGTGTAATGTTAATACATACATACATACAAACATACATATTGCTAGTTCATGTATGATATGCCATCTGCTTGCTAAACAAACAAACAAACAAATAAGGTCGGATCTCTCTTTATTAATCTCCTGTGATTAGGTTGATCCTCTCTTCTTCGCGATAGCCCCTCAAATATTGGAAGATTGCTATCATGTCACCTTCTCTTTATTAGACTTGACTAGATTAGACTAGAGATAACCCAATTCCCCAAACCATTCATCATATGGTTTAGCCTTCAGTCTCCATGTCATCTTTGTTGTCTTCTCTGCACTTTTTCTAGAGTCTCAACATTTTTTTTATATTGTGGTAACCAGAATTGACAGCAGTGTGGCCTTACTAAGTATGGTCTTATCACTTCAAATGATCTTGATACTATCCCTCTGTTGGTTCAGCCGAGGACTGCATTGGCTTTTTTGACAGCTGTAGCACACTGCTGGCTCATACATGTGGTTGTCTTCTAGGACATCTAGAACCCTCTCACAGTTACTGCTATTGAGTCAGGTGCCACCTATTCTGCACTTGTGCATTTGTTTTTCTTGCCTAAGGGTAAGACTTTACTTTTCTCACCACTGAATTGCATTTTGTTGGACAGCATTCAATGTTCAAGTCTGTCCTTCTGTATCTTGAGTCTGTTTTCTAAAATGTCTTCTAAAACAGTTAATCAGTGGAATGACTCTTCTCCAGAAATTATGGGTGCTCCAACACAGGAGATTTTTAAGAAATATTTGGACAGTCATTTGTCTGAAATAGTATAGAGTTCCCTGCTTGAACAGGAGATTGGACTGGAAGACCTCCAAGGTCCTTAAAACTCCTTTATTCTGTTATTCTATTATTGTTGGCTGTTCCTTTCAGCTTGATGTTATCTGCAAATTTGATGAGTTCCCCTTCTAGACCATCATCTAGATCATGAGAAGAATACTCTGCCTAAAACAAAACCTTGAAGTATCCCACTGCATGCATCCCTCCATTTCGATGTAGTTCCATTGACGACTACATGTTGAATGCAGTTAGCCAGTTTGAATCCATCTGGTGGTGATTATTATTATTTATTAAATTTGTCTGCTGCCCATCTTGCTGTAAGACAACAGATATAGCTATCTATTCCATATTTTTCTATCTTACAAAGAAGTAAGGTGTGGTCTACTTAGTCAAATGTCTTACTGAAGTCTAAGTAAGCTATGTCGACAATATTTTTCTGATTTAGTCACTTTGTCAAAAAGGCATTAAGGTTTGTCTGGCATGATATATTTTTCACAAACACAAGCTGGTTTTTAGTAATTGTCTTGTTTGTTTCTAGGTGCTCACAAATGTATTGGTTGATTATTTTTTCTATGATCTTCTCAGGTACAATCTAATCTTATGAAGCTTCTCCTCTGGTAATACTGATTTGCAAACTAGGGCATACAAAACCTTTGCTAGACTAATACTTGAATATAGCTCATCTGTCTGGAATCCGTAATGTATATCAGACATTAATACCGTGTTTCTCCAACAATATGGCCTCCACCAATAGGAAGCCCCACTATGTTTTATTGGCATAAAATCAAATTAAGCCCCTCCCCCCAAATTAAGGCACATATTAAACATGCGAAATGGGGGGGAATGTGGGGGGGCTTGCCGTTAGGAAGTACTTTTGTTGCGTGCCCGGATATGGTGCTGCCTGCGTTGGTGGGGCACTTCATATCGGGAGACCTTCCGCCACCATTGCTTTCCCTTCTCCCTTGCTGCCGCGGTGTTAGAGCAACGCCGCAGCATTTGGTGCAAAGGGAAAGGGAAGGCGGCGACAGGAGCGCCTGAAGCCAAGTGTCTCCTCAGGGCCCCGGTTGCAGGGAGGAGCCCTGACTGGCCGCACGTGGCTGCACCAAACGCCGCGGCGTTGCTCTAACGCCACGGCAGCAAGGGAGAAGGGAAAGCAATGGTGGCAGAAGGTCTCCCGAACATCCAAGCTGTCGCCGCTCGCCCACCCGATGATGCAAGGGGGGGGATTAAGTCACCCCTAAAAAGACGGCCTAGCCATTTTTCCAGGGGTCAAAAAAAAAATAAAGCCTGGCCTTATTTTGTGAGAAACACGGTACAATTGAGCGAGTCCAGAAGTATTTTACAAGAAGAGTACTACACTCCTCTGTTCGCAACAGAATACCCTACACCACCAGACTTGAAATTCTAGGCTTAGACAACCTTGAACTACGCTGGCTAAGATTGAATTTAAGCATAGTACATAAAATTATATGTTACAATGTCTTACCAGTTAACGAATATTTCAGCTCTAATCACAACACAAGAGCACACAACAGATATAAACTTAATGTAAACCACTCCTTGATTGCAGGAAGTACAATTTCAGCAACAGAGTGGTCAATGTCTGGAACTTACTACCTGATTCTGTTGTCACATGCTCAAACCCCCACTCCTTTACCCTCAAACTAACGTCTATTGACCTCACCCCTTTCCTAAGAGGTCTGTACGGGGCGTCCATAAGTGCACAATTGTGTCTACTATCCCTGTCCTATTGTCCCCAATTTTTAGTATCTATTTCATGTATTTATACTTATGTTCATTCTTATTTCTATTATATTGTAATCGTTTGACAAAATAAGTAAATAAATAAATAAATAAATAAATAAAATAATAAAATAATAAAATAAAATAAAATAAAATAAAATAAAATAAATAATAAAATAATAAAATAAAATAAAATAATAAAATAAATAAAATAAAATAAAATAAAATAATAAAATAAAATAAAATAAAATAAAATAAATAAAATAATAAAATAAAATAAAATAATAAATAAAATAAAATAAAATAAAATAAAATGATGTCAGTCTGATTGGTCTGTAGTTTCCTGGATCAATTTTTTTTCTCTTTTTGAAGATTGGAACCACATCAGCTCTTTTCTAATTGTCCAATAGTTCTTGCTGCTCCAGGCAGAATGGGACAACTCCTACTGCCAACTCGCTATTACCATCTTGCCACGGTTCAACTTGCTGTGGCCAATTTGCTGCAGGGCAACTTGACACAGGACAATTCCATGCAGGATAACTAAATGTGATAAATATTATCCGCCACTACGTCTTCAACATTATTTCCATTGACAAAAATGGAAGTAATGGAGAAGAAATAGTGGCAGATAACATTTATCAGGTTGAGTTATCTCATGTGGATTGCTCTGTGAAGAGTTGTCCCATGATGAATTGACTGCAGCAGGAGGGCTGTGCTTGGTTGGCCACAGCAAGATGGCCACCACCACCATCATCCAGGAAAAGATGGGAGCAGCTGAAACAAACGAGCTATTTTAATGGTGACAACTTTAGCTGTAGACTGACATGACATGATAATACATTGTCTTTGACATCTACTCAATTTCTTGGCATTAGAACTCTGAGTATGAGATGCAACACATCCAGAATTGTTATTATCCACATCCAGAAGTGTTATTCTTATTGTATAATTGAAGAGAAAGGGGACAGATAAATGATTTTAGAAAAAAATCTGTAAGGTTCCCTGGATGTCATTCATTTGAGTGCTGAGATACAGAATCCTATTCTACAGGATCCTATTCTACTGTCTGCTTGTCTACCCCTAGCCTTTCTAGACTGATCCTTCGGGACTGGGTTATACAATTAATTTCAATATGGGAAATAGCCAGGAAACATCGTACTCAGGATTTCATGAAAAGTACATTTGGCAGCTTGTACTTTGAAATAGGAATTAAAATGGGAGAAAAATTTTGCACACTTGATTTGACATTGACTCAGTATTTGTACCTTTTGTCAATGTTCCAAATACTTATACCTTTATGAGGTGGATTGCTTTTTCCAAGAATGCTTTTATTTTTGAAATACTGCTTTTAAGGCTAGCAATTTTTATTGAAAATATCATAGTTTTTTTTCAGCCAGGAAAAGAAAACTGGAATACAACACACAAAGCAAGAGGTTGTCTTCTCTGCCAAAATTTGAAGGAGAACAGTTCCCAAGGCAGAGTCCAAAGCATGTGTTTGCACACCAAAGGGGTAACTGGGAGCTGGATGTATGAGTGGCAGCTGGGAAGAAGAAATTCTCAAACTCTGAAAAGTGGCTTATTTTTGAATAGACCATTTATATTTGTATGTTTTTTCCCCCAGAATTAAGGTTTTACAATATGAGGAACTAGCTATCTTCTCTGCCTAGGCGTTAAAATGAGTCCTGGCCTGGCATTGTAGAAAGATGGGGAAGTGTAGTTATATAGGCCTGATAAGGGTACATAATTTCAGGAGGCACCTCCTCCATAGGCTTCTCTTTGTTATCCTCTGGTATTTGCCATCTCCCTCCACTTCTGTTTTCCCAATCCCTGCTGCTGCCCTTTCTTTAGAATAGCCTTTATGCTTAGCAAGCACTGAGTCTGCCGGAACTTACAATCAGGAGCTGTGGGTTTCTTACAGGAGGCTATGTTTTCTTGCATCACATATGAATGTTGTGAAAACTATAGAGCAATTAATTGAACTGTAAGGGCTTTTCTGTATATTTAAATTTGACATATTATGTGTCAGAAGCTATTAAATAATCATGTGATATGGATCAAATCATGACTGTTTCTCAAGCCTGATGTACTGAAGATGTGTATGCCTTCAGAAGGCGATCCAGTAGTTCTAAAAGAAGAGATAGAGAATCGTTATCTCTAATGGTTATAGATAGTCCCTGACTTATGACCACAATGGAACCTGGAGTTTTGGTCATAAGTTGTAAGGTACCACATGACTGGACATGATTTCATTATCATATTTATGCCAATTGTAAGGCGAGTTACTGTAGTCATAAAGCAAATTACATGTTCATTAAGCAAATCCATTCTTTTGAATGGGTGTTACCAGCAAAAAGTAGCAAATCTCAGTCATGTTATCATGGAACACTACAACCAGTTGTGAACACAAGTTGGTTGCCAAGCACCCAAAATGCAATCCACATGACTTTGCTGGAGGAGGTGATAGTTGAAACTTGGAGGACAAATCATAAGTAGTTTTCTTACAGTTCATGTAACTTTGAACAAATGTTAAATGATCAATCATAAGTCAAGGACTACTTTTGTATAATTTAGAAGTCAATAATCATGAACAAGTCCCAAAGAAGAACTGTTTATTTTTTGTAAAAATGAATGGTGTAGATGCAGGAGATTTAGAAAAGTGAATATACCCTTTCTTTAGATTGTCTTGAAACTTGATCAGCCATAGGATATTTTAGCCAAGATTTTGACTCCAGGAGTCAAAATCATATGGTATCATATATATACCAGATGAGGAATTATAGTGACTGCTTCCTTTTTTCTCCAATACCAGCAAAATTTGCATGATTTCTGACATATAAATGTCAGGAATCAATTGAAAGTTCCATCAGACTTGTCAAGTCAACTTGCAGGGGAATGGAGTAACACTATAGCAATTTTGGGACCATTCCTGGCTGAGGTAAGCCTTGTCCCACAAGACGTGCTTGCTGTATTGTGGCACTTTGGCATGGGTTTGTAATTTTGTATTTATCTCCTGTTCATATAGCAATAAGACTTTGGCTATTTGTGTTCTCAGGGAGACCTTAAGAATCTGTCATATTCTATATCTAGAAGGCAAGATCTCATGACTCTCTGAGACAAATATTGAGGCTTTTAAGATAGATGTTAGCCCTTTTGTGTTAGTATGGTAAAGAAATAGAAGCAGCAGAGATTGCAGGAGCTTTATTATTGTAGGGTAAAATAACAAAATCTTGAGATCCTTTCAGGCTTTTTTTCTCCTCTATCTTACAGCAAACAAAATCACCTGTGATTATTTTAGGTTTCTTTTTCATGGTCCCGGCTTTTGCAAGACTGAATTGTCTTTTTGTCCCCCTTTAAAAGTTAATTGCTGTCTTCTCCCTTATGATAGTCAGATTTAAATTCTTTCAGGCAGCATACATGTGCTTTACCTTTTTTTAAACAAAAAAATGATTTCAATTGTAGGCTTTGTTCATTACACACAAGCACATATTGGAGAGAGAATGGATTTTCAATGCAACACCAAGATTTATTGTAATTTATTAATAATAACTTCTATATGGGATGAATTTTGTCAGTCCTACATTGTTACTTGAGTTTTGCTAACTCCTTACTTCAGAAATGATGATTTGCATTTTTATATTGTCCATTTATTCATAAATATGTTGAATTTTAATTACTTTTAGATTTTATTGTGTTACAAAGATTTATTTTATATACATTTTTACTATAATTTAGATTGATTTTCATGTAATATTTCATATACAGATATTTGCTTGTCGTATACAACTTTAATTCAGAAACTTTTTAGTGATGGTTTATTTCAGAAAATTGAGAGAACAATTAAACAAGAATTTAGTTGTGTATGCCTTTAAAAATGATTGCATCATATATTTGTGCTGGAAGTTGAGCTTCATATTATTTAAAATCTCTGCCCACTTGGTTGGATCCACTTATGTACTGTAAGAAATCTATCCATATACACACAGTATATATGAACATGATCTGTGGGGATAAAAGCAGTAGAAAATTTCTATCCAAAGTGTAGCACAGCTAGGTAGGAATGCAGTAATAACCTGGTTTGCTCCCATTGTGTATTTTTTATTTATATATTCAGTCAGAACATGTTTTGCATCATTATAGGAATTTATCTAATTATATACATCAATAGGGAAGAATGGACAGAAGCCATCCAAGCAGTAGCAGACAGACTTCAGAGGCAAGAAGAAGAAAGAATGAATTGCAGCCCAACATCCCAGATTGATAACATTGGAGAAGAAGAGATGGATGCCTCGACAACCCACCATAAAAGAAAGGTATTTAGAATATTGGTTAAATAATTATTCTCTTACGTGATGATAAAAGAATGAAGGTAAAAAGTGGAAGATAGCTGAAATTGAGACTGAATACCAGTTAGCTTTTGCAAGCAATTAACATTGGCTAGATACTACTTTTTTTATGTTCATCAGTTGGCAAAGAGAAGGAGGGAGGGAGGGAGGGAGAGGGAGAGAGAGAACTATCTTTATTTTCACACACTCAAAACAGATACTTAAAGGAGCCTGGGGTTGTACAAAGTAGACAGAATAACTGTTATAAGAGATTAAAGGAATAAAGTATTTGTGGAATTATCTTCTCTTGGCGAATGGTAGACCTAACAAATTAATCACTTTTTTTGGCTTTATTAACTATTTTACTGTTGTTTTAAAAAAACTTTGAATCAAATAGTTAAGTAAAATAAATGTTGAAAATAATGTGGTTTATTAATACAGAGATACTGGTGGATGTCCAAATAGACATCTTGAATATATTGATATATGTGTTGGGGGTCAGAGCAATACTATTACTAATATTATAATTATTACTTCAGCAGTAGAGCATTGGGGATTGATTGGCTTACTATTTTACTATATCCTGAAAAATGAGCATGAAAAGTTACTGCAATCTGATAAGAGAAATAACACATTAGGTTTCCTAGAAGGCATGTGATATAGTGATTATAGTTATTAGGTGAGATTATTAGAAGGATAATGAAAACATTATCACTGTGCATATTTGTCTTTAGGAGGATACAACTGGAGGATTAACTGTGTTTTTTTAGATAACCAAATCTCATCTGGTTAATGTGATTCATAAGAATGCATCAATAAAAGATATATTTTTTTAGACCTAGTTTGCTTAAAAGTGTGGAGCTAATTACACTATAGGAATATTAGTTATTGAGTGTTTGAGACAAAGGGTTATTTTCCTATCTCTGGGAAAATGATCATTCTCCATCTATAGCTAAAACATCCACCATAAGAGATGACAGACCAGTGGTGACTATCCTTTTCAGCACCAAGTGCTGAAATGGGAGTGCGTGCACACATGCACGCACGTGCACACTGGAAACCAGAAGAAAAACTCCTTGGCATGGCACATGGGAGCACCAGAAACCGGAAGCTCAGCTTCCCGGCCCACGCATGCATGCTAGCCACCTGGTCTTCCAGTTTCTAATGTGTATGCGTGCATGAAGACCAGCTGGCTGGTGTGCGCATGCGCACCAGGTAGCTGATCTTCCAGTTTCTGGCACTCCTGTGTGCATGAAGACCAGCTGGCCGGCGTACGCATGTGCACCAGGGAGCTGATCTTCTGGTTTCAGGCACCCCCATGTGTGTGAAGACTAGCTGGCCGCCGCGCCGGAATCTGAAAGAGCAATGGGTGATGGCTGGTGTGCCTGGAGAGATGGCTCTGCATGCCATAAGTTCGCCATCACGGTGATAGACCATCACATGAGATTGCTTTCAGCAGCTTCTAAATAATGTTTAGACTTTGAAATGATTCTATTTATTAAGCAGTGTTTTTTCCTTTTGAAGCGTGTTCTTCCTAGGGATCATTACATAAAAACATTAACTTTTCAATTCTGAAGTATATTTTTAAACAAGAAATGCTACTAGATTTCTATTTTGATTTTCTGGAGATAATTGTGACTTGTTTACTGAACAAAAAATCATTTAGTCCACTTAAAAGATTTTACAAACTGGGTTGATCACAAGCAATCTGCAACTCTGCAAATTGATTGTTGATATTACAATATTTTGAAGTCACTTTTTGGTGTAGGAAATTTTTGTATGAAGCTTCAGAGCCAACAGTATGACACTGTTAAAGGTTTTTGAATTGTCATATTTCTCTGTAGTTGATTATCTTTCTAAAAGTGGGAAAACATTTTGCAAAACATTTTGATAAATCTAATAATTATTCTTCTCTATGTTGTATAGCTATATAATTGTATATATTATGTAGGATCATTGACGTGTTGGTGTACTTCCCTTTCAAATGTGTACATACTTTCTTATACTGTAGATAGTAATAATAAAATGAGAATCAGAATTTGGAATCATACCATGCTGATTTGTAAAAAATTGCTTTTTTCTTGATAACCATAGATTTTACTGATGGACAACAATATTTTAATGAACACATTATCTGCAAGCTGTAAATTCCATTAATTTTTCATCTTATACTTCATGCAGACAATGAATGATTTTGATTACTTAAAACTACTTGGCAAAGGCACTTTTGGCAAAGTTATTCTGGTCCGGGAGAAGGCAAGTGGGAAATATTATGCTATGAAAATTTTAAAAAAGGAAGTTATTATTGCAAAGGTATGTTTATGTGTTTAATATAATTTTGTTGTAAATATAGATATTTCTGAAAATAGCTCATTTTCACTCTTATAAATCTTATTGGAATAAACTTCTTAAACTTCTTTATATTGTGATATAAAGGCTTTAATCAGACATACCTGAATTTTAAGGTTAACAAGTTTCTCTTAAGTATTAGTCTCCTGGTTGAATGGAAGCTGGAAATGGGATTCATCGCAATGTAGAGGCTGTTATTTCGCAGAAATTCTGATCCCCACCCCCTGGTCCTACAGTCCCATTATGTAATTCTATAAAGTAATTCTTAAAACCTCAGTATTGCATCTGGGTATACATTTAGTATAATAGTAAACAACCAACAATAAACAACCCAACTAAAGAATCTCTAAGACCATCCCCACAAACACTAACAGGAGAAGCCACTAGAATATAAACTGAGAGCAAACCCCACTCCTTACTAACACTGATGATGTTATTTAGTTTGGGTAATGAAATGTTTGCAAGAAAATAGCCAAGCTCAGAATGAAGCAAGGAACACACAGTTAGTATACTGTGACACCAACTGCCCATACCAAACCAGTCTGTGACTATGTGTTGCAGAATAGTTGACTCTTGCTAGCAGTTCACCAGGATTTCAGGTAGAGCTTTTTCACCTTATCTCCTGTCTGATTTTTTTAACAACAGATATTGGGACTGAACTGTATTAAATTATATTCAAAAATACTTTTTGCTGAATAATTATGGCCCATCCCTACAGATTCAGTAGATGTTGCATGACATGTCATTCTTGATGAATACCATACTATTTACATGTCATAGCAGCCGTGGTCTACAGCATTTGTGCTCCAGATCTTGATTATTTATTTCTATGATGGCACATTTTAGAGATACATCAAATATTACAATATGAAAATGTTCTGCTCACAGAACATACCAAAAAAGGCCATTCTGAACATACCAAAAGAAGCCAACCATTGGTAGACTATTCTAACTTTAGTCTATAAGTCCTAATGGCCCATGTCAGATCAGAACACTAACAAAAGATTTTGCATCTCTTTGTATTCTTTTATACTTTAAAAAGTGATTATTCAAGGAAAGACTCATAATTTTCTGAACAATAAATACTGGATTCCATAATTCAATAGTACAGGAGACTAAAATTATTATTTTATCACAGTGTTGTAGCAATACCGTTTGTTATAGGTTTGATGTGAATGAATTATCATGTATGATGTATCCTTTTGAAGCTTTTGAATATCCTGTTTCCTTTCCCTTTTTAAAAATACTCAGTGTATGATATTCCAGAAACTTTTTACAATTTTTACAATAATATTTTGATGTATTTTGTTTTTTCTAAAATTACTGATTTTAATATTGTGTTTTTGATTTTTTAGGATGAAGTGGCTCACACACTTACAGAAAGTAGAGTATTGAAAAACACTAGACATCCTTTTCTAACAGTGAGTATGGATAATTAAATTTACAGTGTTTTGTAAAACTACTTGGAAATTATTCTCATTAATTTCTAGAATGTTTTACTGGATAGATTATTCCTAAACTATACAGTAATATGGTGACTTTAAGTATAGAGGTATTAAAACAATATATTTAGGCATTATACTATAAGTGGAAAGAGAAGAGAAACAATTTCAGGAAATGGTTTGGGGATTATTAATTGTGTTTAAAAAAAACTTGATGATTTTAAATTAAAAATTGATATAGAAATATTTTAAATAAATCATAGCATATTTTCAATGTCTTTGGTACCAGTACCATTATTTAGCTTAGTTTGGTTCAGTCCAGTTCTTAATTAATATCTTTTAGGCTGATTTCAAGTGCATAATAGTCACAGTATACATTCAAAACTTTGTCACCAGATGCAAAAGATGGAGGGTTGTTGTGTTTTAATGGTATATAGAAGAAATTTATACTATCATAAGGAACTGAGGAGAAAAAAACAATAATGGTAACCATCTGTTAGGGGAGAGTCAGATCTTAATGACCAGATAATGTTCTATCAAAGAGCTCAGTTTCATCAGTTCTGCAAAAGCAATCCAGTAGTGAGAATGTGTAATGGCAAGTTATCTATGCAGGCTGGCACTGCAGGTAGAATTCTCTCAGGTATGGGACCTTCAGCAAAACTTCTTTCCCTGATTTTACTGGATTGGCAAGGATGGTCAGACAGGATGGTCTTGACGATACCCAGGCCATGAGTAAGACAGGTCTTTGAAAATGATAACCAGTATCTTCAATTATAGTGTACATTACTAGTGTTTTGTCATGTTCTTCCAACAGTATTGACATTTAAATAATTGTACCAACTGCTTCTCAGTGTACAACTAACAACCTACAAACACAAACTTTTCAGTTGTTTAAATGCATTGTGAAACTCAATGTATATATAATATATAACACTATTCAGAGTATTAACACAAACACATGGTTGTATGGATCACAGCATGTTTTTGTCTGGTCTTGTCTCTTCTGTCTCTTCCTCCCTACCTCTTTTCTTTCGAATCACCCATCCTACTATATTGCTTTAATTTTTTTAAGTAGTGCATTGAACTGTGTGTATGCAGCAATTCCTTAGAGGCAGGTGGCTTTGTGCAGGTATGTGCAGGTATGCTCATCAAAAACAGAATGGGTGCCCCGATCTATATTCTTCTTATATGTCTTCTTGTTCCTTGCCATTCCACCCTACTCCGATTTTCCTACTCATCTTCAGCCAAGGTGGGATTTTTTTAAAAAAGGCAACGAGAGTACAATTTTTCACTTAAATCACCTAAAACAACCAAAAATGTCAGATGCAGTCACTTTTTGTTGAAATATAGAAGAAAAAATTGTTTGCAAAGAACACCAAAAATGCTTTAAAAATCCCAACTGATAAAGACACTAAATGGATTAGTTGAGAAAATAGGATGGAACTGATTCATACATATAAAAATAGGTTTACAACTAGCTAGTATTCTTGTTGAGAAGATAAATGGGGTAACCAACAGTATCAAAATTCAAAGGTGTATTTCAGATTCAGCCCAAATGACATATATCAGCGATCCAGGATAAAAACTTTGCTAGGAAAAACTTAATGCATATTCAAGAGCTAGATCAGATGTTCTAGCATTTATTTTCTTCTATAATATATAGGTTGGAACAAGATCAATAATTATTATTGCTATCTAATAGACAAGATATATTTTATTTAATCAGAAACAATCACAACTTCCATTACAATGCAAATTTTTAAAGGTAAAACTATCCCAGTTATTATTTCTGGCAATTTATTCAGTTTGCAGTAAATTACTTTTTCAATTTTAATATTGATACCTTCACTATTCCCTAGACTGGGTAGTATTTGGGACTTATAATTCATGGCATTGGGCCTCTAGTCACTTGAACAATTTTGTGAGCTAAATAGACAATTAGTTAGATATATAAACTGCTAGGCACATATAATTTCTGTTGGATAAAAAGATCATGAATATACTTTGTGACATTCATTCAAAGCTACATTTATGGACTATAATTTTAAGTAAAAAGCAAATGTTACAATTTAAGTTTTTTAGTAGAATAACTTTAAGTATATGTTAAATGTTTTCAGAAAAACTATCTTTAGATGATTCTCCCATAAAAATATCCGCTATCCATGCCTTTATAGAGAAGTCTTCCCTATACCACTCAAGCGTTTAGATAAAACACTGTTTCACTGGCAATTCCAGTGAAGATATATTATCCACCTATATATGCATGTAGGGAAAACATGCCATGGATCTAGAGCAGGACTGTCAAACTCGCAGCCCACAGGCCAGATGCTTCATGCGCTGACCATGCCCACGCCTGGTTTAGTGAAGGGGGGAAAAGGTCATGATACGTCACGTGACGACACAAGTTTGACATCCTTGATCTAGAGAAACACCTCACTGACCCAATCTGCACAGCTGTAAAATAAATATATATTGTTCTCCAGTTGTGTGCATTCTGTCTTGACTGGAGGTTCTGCTGGTAGTAGATCAGTTTGGAAAAAGTGTACTATTCTCATGTTGCAAATTTATTAATTTAGTTTTCAGCTAAAACCAGTTATGAACTCCATTAAAGTTCTTTTTGTGCTCCTCTATATTTCTATTTTATATTGTTTGAAATATTCTTGAGAAGAGTGGTTTCTCATTTAAATCTCTTAATAAAAATATACCATTCTTATATGAAAGTTAAATTTAGTTGTCATTATATTAAGACTATATTTAGCTTTCAGGACATTTTTCTAGAAATTAATTTCACCCACAGGTCCTATTTCTTTCATGCTTTTTGGATTATATTTGGGGTTTGCCATGAATTATTCATATGAGGTTTATTCCTTCAACCTTTAATTTTATCTTCAGACCCAAATAATAAAAATTTAATTCAGAATAGTAATTTTATAGAGTTCTTTATTTAAGATAAAAATGTATCTTCATATTGCAGAGAAGAAGGGTTAAATATTGTGGAGAAAAAGCCCCTTTTAGCTACTTTCTATTTATCTTCAGAGTGATCTATATTTCTTCTCCCAGCTGTATCATGTATTCACATATTTATAAGTTTCAAATGATCCTGTATGAGTCAGTAGAAGTGGTATTTTTATACAGCTGTAATTATCTGGACAAGACTTAATAAGGTTTCCAATAAACAGATTATACTTCAGAGCCTTATGGTGTGTCTTGTTTATGTCAGTTTCTTTGGCATATCCAATTGTTGCTAATGTACCAAGACATTTTTGGTCCAGAATATTTGCATCAGCAGTTCTGTTTTGAATACTTAGCAGTGATAACCTCCAATATAATAATGCTGGACTAAACAGATGGGATACTTCGAATTCATACACAGTGAAAGGTTTATTTAGAAAAGAAAAGTGATAATGGGTTCATCATTTATATTTTGATATATATTGTGGGTACTTTACACTATCATGATATTGTATTAGAATAGCTGCAAATTATAAAAGATTCCAGAGAAGAATTCATTTTTTATTATGAGTTGCTGTAAAGAGAGGTACACTTTTTCTTTGCATCATAGCAATAGCACTTAGACTTATATATTGCTTCACAATGCTTTACAGCCATCATATTTCCTTTTGCCCCTAAGACAATTATTCAACCTAATTAAAATCAAAAGAGGAGTGAAATAGCTTGCAGCACCTAAAACAGCTTGTAGTACCCTATCTAAAAAAATAAAATTCAGTGGTGACAAAGGTAGGTAATAGCAAGAAAAACTAAATGCACAGGTATATAATAGGTGGTACCTGGCTTAATAGTAGTAACTGTGAGAGGGATCTTCTAGTCCTAGTGAACAATCATTTAAATATGAGCCAGCAGTGTGCTTTAGCTGCCAAAAAAGCTAATGCAGTCCTGGGCTGTGTTAACAGAGGAATAGAATCAAGATAATCTGAAGTGTTAGTATCACTTTATAATGCCTTGGTAAGACCACACTTGGAATATTGCATACAATTTAGGTCACCACAATATAATTAAGATGTTGGAACTCCACAATATAATTAAGATGTTTGAAGAGTGCAGAGAAGAGAGCAAAGATAATTGGGATTGGAGGCTAAAACAAAGAATGATTGCAGGAATTGGTTTTGTCTAGTTTGATGAAAAGAAATACTAGGGTGATATGATAGCAGTGTTCTAATATCTAAGGGGCTGCCACAAAAAAGAGGAAGTCAACCTATTCTCCAGAGTACATAATGGCAGATCAAAAAGCAATGGATGGAAACTTGTCAATGACAGGACCAATAAAGAAATAAGGATAAATTTCCTAACAGAACAATTAATCAGTGGAACAGCTTGCTTTTAGAAACTGGTTGCTCCATCACTGGATGATTTTAAGAAGAGATTGGACAGTCATTTATCCGAAATGATATAGGGTTTCCTGCTTGAACAGGGAGTTGGTCTAGAAGACCTCCAAGTTCTGTTAATATCTGTTAAAACACAATATAATGCAAATGTGTGATTTCATAAACATTTGAGGATTGCTACCTCAAATGCAGTAATAATGGACACAAAAGATGATGGGAATTAGATGTAATTTGCAAATTAAAATGAAGTAAGAAAATATCTATATTTGAAAGTAGAAAAGGGATTAGAATTTTTGATAAATGCTGAAGTCCAAAGTACATTGAAGTAGTGGAATAAAGGCTATTATTAGACACTTTAAAGACATGTCCTTATCTCAAAAGTATTTTTCAAAAGGCAACTAGACTTCCTTGGTTTTTTTCCTTGAAAATGTTTCACTCCCCATCCAAGAAGCTTCTTCAGTGCCTTTTGAAAAGCACCTTTGGGACAATCATGAGCTGGATGATTGAGAATCTTTATGGACACATTTTCTTTAATCTCTTTTTTATCAGTGACAAAGTGCCATTCTTGAGCATAGGTTACAAAGACCATATTTATTCAGAAACAGCTGAGCTTGAATTTATTAAAAGGTTCCGATCAATTTCCTGCAACTTATTCAGAGGCAGGATTTTCTTACACAGTATGTCAAGAAATCACTTAGTTGAATTCATTAATGCAAACATATTTGTGATACTACTAACACTTCTGTTGTGAATTACCAAGAAGCTCACAGTCTCTATCCATACCTTCCCCTGATTTCCTTTTATACTTTAGCTGTTCAAAACCATTCAGAGTGTTTAGTAGCCCTCTTAACTATTTGCTTGAAGCATTAATTCCTTTTCTAGGACTGACACAAATAGAATTGTCATATGTTTGTGCATACTCATCCTCAGACAATGTTAAAAGGCCTTAAATCTGGTGTGCTGTGCTTTTGAGGGGACACATAATTTGAAACTTGAGCAGTAGTTTTTTAAGAAGCATTTCCCAAAACACTTCTCTAAGTGGTTTGCATGGCAGTTTTTATCTGGAAATTAAATCACATTTTATGTGTCATTTAACACTTTTATAGTGTTAAATTCCATTGACCCTCATATTACTTCTGATTATATAGTTATAAGACTGAGGTATATATGAATTGAATATGTGACATGATTATACTGTATATTTGTCTTTATTGCTGGAAGGTAAGCTGCTTTAATAACTCCAATTTTTTTCCCTTTAAGTCTTTGAAATATTCATTCCAGACCAAGGATCGATTATGTTTTGTGATGGAATATGTCAATGGAGGAGAGGTAAGATGTGAAGCAAGTAGTGTTATTGTTTTGATTTCTGTCTTAACTATTAAGTTTACTGACATAGTCCTTTGCTATAACTAAAATCTCGGTAACATTTCTTTTTACTAACACTTGTCCTACCTACTCACATGCATTTCTCAATTTGCTGAATAAATAAATTTGCTAAATAAATATCAAATAAGTAAAAATATTGAACTTCTTAGTCCCTTCCTGTGAGCAAAATGCATAGCAAGTTTAAGATGATCTATGGGTAGGGAAGTTTGGATTTTTTAAAAAGGAATTTTCTGCCATTTACTTATTACATAAACTTTTTTCTTTTATTGAATCTCAGAATATTAATTTAATTGAGACTACCTTTAAAAGTATTAGAATTTCACTTGTTTTATCCTTTTTTATACTTCAGTTTTATTAGACAATTTACCTCTATGTTTTGCTATAAAATTCTCTATAGAATTTAAACATTTTGCTTATAACAAAAATACAATTGAAGACAGCGTTATTCTTCATCTTGACAAAATCTCTCTCTCTCTCTCTCTCTCTCTCTCTCTCTCTCTCTCTCTCTCTCATATGATTCTTATTTCATAGCATTTCTTCTGTAATTCTATTTGAATTTAAGTCTCGTATTAGAAATATTTTGGTGAGGATATGCAAGTATTTAATTAACTTTTTATTCTAGAGTATTTTGGGAGAGAAAGTTATATTCTTATGATAGTACAAATTGGATTTAATATGCAGAAAACAAAGCTTGTAAAGAAATCCCATTTTTAATAATTGTTGGAATTGGATTGCTATTGAATTCCCAATGCATATGAACAATGTTGCTGCAATTTATATCATACAGCATTACATATCTTAAATATTTAATTCACAAAGTTTATGAATGAATGAGTTATCATTAATTTAATGGAATTATATGGTTATATCTTTGGTAACATGAGAAAGTGGATCTTAATGAATTCTGCTGGGAGTTAGGTTGGATAAAATAGCTTCAAATATTTAAGGATAAAATTTCCCAGAAAGAATGGGAAATTCTACCAAGTAACATCATGAAGGAGAAAACAGTTTCCATAAGAAGGGAAAATAACAGAAATCTAAAGATGCTAGTATGAATGAGCTCAGGTTTGAAGTACCTAAAATAACAGAGAAGATTTTCTGTCTCCATTAGAAAGAAAGAAAAAAATAAAAAAAAACATGCGGCATTGTGAGGAAAAAATATTAAAAATAAAAATATTAAAGTGATAATGGGTTATTATGAGAAGGCTGAATTTCTTAACTCTTACTTTGCTCCTCTCAAAATATAGAATTTCTGCATTCCAGAAATGGAGCAATATGTTTCTAACAAATATTAATTATCTGTTAAGGACTAACAGAGAAGCACTGACTATTGACTGAATAATCAAACAAAAGGAATGCTCATTAATGACCATTTTGGAAAGAATTTTGATTGGAGTGCATTAGGGTTCTGTTTTGGATCCTATGCTGTTCCATAGTTTTATAAATGACTTGGATATGAGAGTTTGGGGGACGCTTAGAAAGTTTGCAGTTGGTATAAAGCTGAGAGGTAGGGCTAATGCAAGATAAAAAATTCAAAAAGATCTAGACAGGGTTGAGCACTGGCTGAAGTGAGCAGAATAGAATTTAGCAGGGAGAAATGTAAAGTTCTTCATCTGGGTGGGAAACAAAAATATAGGATGATGTGAGCTGGCTTGGAATAGTACATGTGAAAAGAGTCTGGGTGTCCATGTCAATCAGAAGTGTGATAGAAAAGATAAAAGGTAAATGCCATCCTGAGATGCATTAACAGGAATATAGAACCTGTGTCACAGGAATTAAGTGTTCAGCTCTAATCTGCTCTGCTCAAACCACATATGGAATACTATGTACAGATCTAGGTAGTATAATTCTAAAAGGTACAGTGAAAAAAATGAGTTAGAGAAAGGCTATCAAAATGGTAAAATATCTGGAAGGCAAATCCTATGAGGAATGGTAAAGGATGTGGGTTAACTTTAGCCTGTAGAAATGACAGGAGAAACTAATTATGATAGCAGTATTCAGATATATTAAAAGTTAAGGTGTGGATAATTTCTAGTGCTCCAAAGGAAGACCAATAGATTACATGGAAGCAGGCTGTGGCTGTTCATCAAGAGGAACCTCTTGAATACTTTATGATCCTAACTGGACTGGAATTTCTGTTGCTAAGTGCAGTGGTCATTAGGTGAAACATCATGTGACTACACTAGTAAAGGCAGTTCCAGTAGTCTTGATTGTGGTTGTTAGGCGAGGACCATGCTATCATTAAGTGAAGACCTCATCTTTCTCCTGCCCTGCATGAACTGCCATCTTTGTCGTGCTGTTCCCCACCATCTGAGTCCTGGGAGCTCCTTTCAGCAGATGAGGCTGCTCCACTCTGCCATGCTTGTCTCCACTTCAGCTCCCTCCCACCTACCTCTCCCATCTCTGCCCTTTTGGTTGCCCTGCACTCTGCTGCTGTTGCCTACCCCACCACCCCCAGCTGACCTTCGCCATCTTCTTCCTCCTCGCAGAAGTGTCGTGGAGGTCTCGTGAAGGGCCAGCAGCTGCCTCGGCCAGGTGCACCTCATCAACAGAAGGAAGAAGATGGCGAAGGTCAGCTGGGGGCAGTGAGGGGGGGTGGGATACAGGGCAGAATGTAGGGTAGCAGAGTGGTGGTCAAAATGGTATAAATGGGAGGAAGATAGATGGAGAGGGGAAGTTGAAGCGCATGCAGTTGTAAATGTGGGAGGACTGCAAAGGACCCAAATTTTGGCCATGTGACCACATGTTGCAATGGCCATGACTGAGGACTAGTTGTAACTACCATTTGTTCAGCGCTATTGTAATTTTGAATAGTTGCGGAATGAATGGTCATAGCCCGAGGACTACCTGTATGAGCTCTTAGGCAAGTTGCCAAATGTTGTTTTCTAGAGGTCTTCAGAGGCTAGATGAGCTTCTATTGAGAGATGCTTTGTTAGACCCTACACTGAGGAAGGGAATGGATTCAGTGATATCTGATACAGATACAAATAATCAGAGTTGGAAGGGACCTTGTAGGTCATCTAGTCCAACTCCCCGCCCAAGCGGGAGACCCTACACCATTTCTGACAAATGGCAGTCCAATCTCTTCTGGAAAGTCTCAAGTGATGGTGCTCCCACAACTTCCGAGGGCAAGCTGTTCCATTGGTTGATTGTTCTCACTGTCAGAATGTTTCTCCTTGTTTCCAGGTTAAATCTCTCCTTGTTCAGTTTCCATCCATTATTCCTTGTCTGACCTACATGCGCTTTAGAAAATAGCTTGACCCCTTCCTCCCTGTGGCAGCCCCTCAAATATTGGAAGACCGCTATCATGTCTCCCCTGGTGCTTCTCTCTACTAGACTAGCCAAGCCCAGTTCCTGCAACCGTTCGTTGTATGTTTTAGCCTCCCTAATCATCCTGGTTGCTCTTCTCTGTACTTTTTCTAGAGTCTCAACATCTTTTTTATAATGTGGAGACCAAAACTGGATGCAGTACTCTAGGTGTGGTCTTACTAAGGCTTTATAGAGTGGTATTAGTACTTCCCTTGATCTTGACTGTATCCCTCTGTTAATACAACTTAGGATTGGATTAGCTTTTTTGGCGGCTGCTGCATACTGCTGGCTCATATTTAGCTGGTTGTCCACTAAGACTCCAAGATCCCTCTTACAGTTACTGCTATTGAGCTTGGTTTCACCCAGTCTACATGTGTACTTTTGGTTTTTCTTGCCTAAGTGTAGGACTTTACTTTTCTCTATACTGAATTTCATTTTATTAGATATGGCCCAGTGTTCTAGTCTGTCAAGATCCATCTGGATCTTGAGCCTATCTTCTTGGGTGTTAGCTATTCCTGCCAGCTTAGTATCATCTGCAAATTTGGTAAGTTCCCCTTCTATTCCCTCATCTAAGTCGTTAATGAAGATATTGAAGAGTACTGGGCCTAAGATGGAACCTTGTGGCACCCCACTGCTTACTTCCCTCCATGTAGACTTAGACCCATTAAGGACTACTCGTTGAGTACGAATCCATCTAGTAGTGGTGCTATCTATTCCACTTTTTTCTAGCTTACTAAGAAGTAGGTTGTGGTCTACTTTGTCGAATGCCTTGCTGAAATCTAAATATATTATGTCCACAGTATTTTGCTGGTCTACTAATTTAGTCACTGTGTTGAAGAATGAAATAAGATTGGTTTGGCATGATCTGTTTTTAACAAACCTGTGCTGACTGCTAGTTATTACTTTACTTGTTACTTTTCATCAAGATCAGACAGGTGTTCTCTTACTATTTTTTTACTTATTTTAACTTTTATTTCTAGTCTGTCTTTTACAGTTATGTTTTTGGTGGGTTGAGCTATAGCTTCTTTTTGCGTGAAGACAGATGCAAAGAATGAGTTAAGCAGTTCTGCTTTCTCTCTGTTGCCTGTTACTTCCTTGCCATCTTTTCTCTTTAGTGGATAGACTGTTTTCTTGATTTTTTTCTTGTTATTTATATGTTGGAAGAAACTTTTTTTTATTATCTTTGACTTTTGTTGCAAGTCTTTGTTCGTTCTGAGCCTTTGCTATCCTGACTTCGTCTTTGCAGATTCTGGCTATCTGCTGATATTCTGCCTTAGCTGTATGTCCTTCTTTCCATTTTTTTGTACTTGTCCTTTTTTCTTTCAATTTTCCAGAGAGATCTTTGTGCAGCCATGCTGGTTTCTTCTTAGATTTCTTGTTTTTCTTTCTCAGTGGTATTGTGCTGGTCTGGGCTTCTATGATCATACTTTTTAGAGTTTCCCAAGATTCTTGAGTTGTTTTCCCCTTTAGGATTTTCATCCATGGAATTTTTCCCAAGTTCTGAGTTTATTGAAATCATCTCTTTTAAAATCCAAGACTCTGGTGTCATTATGTTCTGTTGCTTGTGTTTGTGTTATGTTGAATTCTAGTATGACATGGTCACTCTCACCCAAGGCTCCTGCAGTTTCAACTCCCTCTATCACTTCTCTGTTTGTAAGAATTAAGTCCAGTATGGCTGTCCCTCTAGTTTCACCCTCTACCTTTTGGACAACAAAGTTGTCAACTAGGTTGGTTAGGAACTTATTTGATTTCTCACGGTGCAGAATTAGTTTTCCATTTGATATCAAAATAATTGAAGTCTCCCATTACTATTGTTGTGTGTTTCCTGCATATGTTTGTTAGTTGGCTGGCAAAAAGGACATCTATTTTTTCTGCTTGATTGGGTGGCCTATAATATACGCCTATGGCCATGTCATTCTTTTTTTCTTTTATATTGACCCATATGCATTCTAGGAGGTTTTCATCTTTGGTTTCATGCATTTCTGTAGCAGTGTAGTGGTCCTTTACATACAGTGCAACTCCACCTCCTCTTTTATGGAGTCTGGTTTTTTTGAATAGTTTGTATCCTTCTACCAGTATATTCCAGTCATGGGTTTCATCCCACTAAATTTCTGTTATTCCAACTATATCATATTTACCTTCATGTATTCATAGGTCGAGTTCACCCTTTTTGTTCCCCAGACTTTGTGCATTTGTATATAGGCACTTGAGATCTTTATATCTGACACTGTGTTTTCTGTCTACATAACCTGTGTTGTGCCTGCCTGTCCCTACTTTCTTGCCACCTGTTTGATTAGTGCACATGGTATGGCACTCATTATTAAATGCTTGGTTTTGGTTGGCATCAAGGTTGATAATCTTACCTGCACAAACATCTATTTTGCATGCACTGGTATCCTTATTAGTTTTAGGTTGCTGGGGACAGAGATGTTCTGAATGCATTAATTCTCTGTCCCCGCTGTTCAGTTTAAATGTTTATCCAGGAAATCTGTAAATTTAATGCCAAGTAACTCAGTCCCTTTTTTTGATGGATGCAAACCATCTCTTTGTACAGTTTTTCATTGGACCAGCTGCAGACATCATGACTAATAAAACCAAAGCCTTCCCTTTTACACCACTCCTTTAGCCACACATTAAACTCTGCTACACGCTGCCCTTTCCCTTTTTGTTCCTTGTATACTGGTAGAACCTCTGAAAAGATAAGCCTACAGTCCATATTGCTAAGTTCATACCCCCAGCTCTGGAAGTCTTTCTGAACAGAAAGTACATCCTTCTGGGACAGATCATTTGTACCAAGATGTATAATAGCATCAACATCACAGCCCTTGCTGGCATTCTTGACTATCTTAAGAATTCACTTCTTGTCTCTGCTGGCAGTAGCACCTGGTAGACACCTGACCACTTTCAAAACCTCAGTATTCTTTCCTAAATTTACATCCCTTACAATTGAGTCCCCAACCAGAAGGTGGCTTCTCTTTTTGGATGCCTTGCTCTTCTTGTGTGACTGGTGCATAATACCTGATTCACACTTTCTCCTTTCCAAAGTAAGTTCTTCTTCTAGGACCATGATCCCTGGCTCCCTACTCCATTCCAAGTTTATTCTGTGATTCTATTGGCTCAATTTTATTGGCTCAATTTTGTGAACTATATTAACTTTGTATCTAGTTGTGTTCATCTTTGTTGAAACTGAATTATCTGAGTTACCATTATCTTATGGTACTGATGAATATTCATTATCTTTTAGAAATCTTAGAGAACTGGTAAAATACCATAGGACTGGAAGACACCAAATATTGTTTTTATCTTTAAAAAAAGAAAACCAGTTTAGTGTAATGGTTAAGGCATCAGGCTAGAAACTGGGAAATCATGAGTTCCAGCACAAAGCCAGCTGGGTATCCTTGGGCCAGTCAATTTCTTTCAGTTTTAGAAAAGCTTGCCAAGAAAGTTACAGGGATTTGTCCAGGGGTGGGATTCAAATTTTTTAGCAACCAGTTCTGTGGGTGTGGCTTAGTTGGTGGGCGTGGCTTGGTGGTCATGTGACTGGGTGGACATGGTTTGGTGGTCATGTTATTGGTTGGGCGTGGCTAACTCAACATCACTCACATCGAGGCACGCATCTCCTCGCCTGGCCTCTCATGACTGTGGGGATGCTGCAACAATTGTAACTGTGAAAAATGGTCATAAGTCACTTTTTTCAGTGCCATTGCAACTTTGAATGGTCACTCCACACAAGCAAAGTACCAGCAAAGGCGAAAAAAAAAAAAACTCCAGAGAAGTTCCTGAGACAGGAAGTCTAGTCCTGCCAAGAATGTAATAAGGGTTAATGGGAGAGGCAGTTTCTGTAAGCAACACCAGAATGTTTCCTTCCTGCCTTCCTTACAGGATTAGGCCAGTAATTTCTTCTAACAACCGATTCTCTGAACTGCTTAGAATGTTAACAACCGGTTCTAGAGAATAGGTGCGAACTGGTAGAATCCCACCCCTGGATTTGTCCACGCTGGCTATGAGAATCGGACATGATCAAATAGAAGAAAAAAGTGGAAGAAAAAAAAATATTTTGAAAGCAGAATGTAGTGACTGCAGAATAGTCAATCTGATGTTGATACTTAAGAAGATTCTTGGTGACTCTTAAATAAATTAATCTGCAAGCATCTCAAAGCAATATGATTACTACTAAAAGTCATTGTCTATTTGTTAGGAATACATATTATTAGCTCTGTACTATATCATTTTAAAAAATGATTAATAGGTAATTTTGTTTTTAACAAAACATTTAACTAAGTATTCTAGGACAGTCTGATTATAGCTAGTCTACTAATGTAGGTAGCATGCATGATGGAATAATAATTTATTTACTTAATGATCATATGATTCACTTAACAATTGCAGTGATTTGCTTAACAACAATGGCAAAAAGATAGAAAAATTGGGCACTACTCCTTTAACAACTGCCTTTCTTAGCAACAGAAATTCCAAACCCAACTGTGGTTATAAGTTGAGGACTACCTGTATCGTGCAGCCTACTTTAAGAAATAAAGAATAAGGAAACAAGATGAAGAAACTAACCCTTTGTAAAAAAAAAAAAAAAGATTTAAAATGCTAAATATGTTTAATGTTGAAAAATTGGACAGTGTTAAATTCCTGAACAAATTCACACATATGTAATTCAAGTTATGTTTTTTCTGATACTAAGCACAGAAAAGGAGTAATAGATTTAGCTAGAACTGCATCTTCTGAATGAAGTTTGGGTTGGAACTCCTTATCCAAAGAAAAGCTTTATGGTGGAACAAGTTGCTCAGAAAAGTAGATTTCCTTTTGCCGGATTTATTCAGGCAGAGACTAAAATAGTCATTTACTTTGATGCTTTAACTGAAATTTCTGATCTGATAGGGGTTGGATTTGATTGTTTAAATTGTTCTTTCTAATGCCTAGATTTAGCAAACACACTTTTTAAACCATGCTCATTATTTTGTTTAATATACAAGTTTTGGTAGAGTGATTGGTAGAATTCCTACATTAGTTCCTTTGCTACAACTTAAAAAAAAACAAGGAGAAAAAGGAGCTGAAAGAAAAAAGTAGAGAATGATGATGATGCACATTTTTCCTCTGGTAACTGAAGGTTAAATGGGTAGCAAGGAAAATGCCTTAAACAAGATTGGTATATTGATTAAAATGCTGATTTAACAGCTCGCTTTTCCCCCTTGGAAACCTGGAAAAGATAAACCAGCTGCTATCTAAGAGTGCTGAATGTCCACTGAGAGTACACTATCTATCATCACAATATGGTGATGAGAGGTGTTTTATGTTTGTGTTAATTTCCCCCACTAAATCAGTAATTATTGCAATCCTGTCCCTGCTATTTACCCTGCAGCTGTTTTTCCATTTGTCGAGAGAGCGGGTATTCTCTGAGGATCGCACACGCTTCTATGGTGCAGAAATTGTGTCTGCTTTGGACTATCTGCATTCTGGAAAGATTGTATATCGTGATCTCAAGGTAAAAAAAAGTAATCAAAACGTTGTTTTTGAAGAGACTATTGGGAGAAACAAAGTAATTATGAAAGTTATGCAATTTTGGGAAAAATAACTAGAAAATTGTGGTCTAGATTGAAGTTCATCAAAATGCTTATTATTCAATTTTATATTGTGAACTGTATAACTTGGCATTTGTTTAAATAATTCATAAGAAAGATTGAGTTTAGTGATATGAATAAAGGAATGTGCTAATTTTGTTGCTTCTTTTCATCAAACACATATAAAACCACATATAAATGCTACAGTTGTAATTAAACTCCATCAATGAAAACAGGGACTTCAGTTTTTAAATGTTCTAATAGAATGTTCAGTGCTAACCTATCTCAGAAAATACAGAGAAGCCCTTTTGTCTAAGTTTATTTTGCATATTCAGTTAGCTGGACATGATTGGAAGCGTTTTTTTCCTCATTGCAACTGGCTTTGACACATTGAGGGTTCTTTTGTTTTTACTTTAAACTTGGGTAAATCAAACTTAAGTGTTGATGTTTTGTTAGAAGTTCATTTTCATTTTAAGTACAATGTTTCATATTTCCCCACTGTGGTTTCATATTTTGTGAAGCATGTCAGTGCCTAAATAATTCAGAATAATGGTATTATTTGATTAAAGCAAGGACTATGAAGGGATTCTTTGACCGGAAAATGGATTAAATATGAATCACTAAAGAGAATAATCACATAAATGGATTTACTGTTTGAAAATATTCTTTCCAGTTGTATATTTATTCTCAATAATCCAGAACCGAACTATGTTTGCAATCCTGTTACTTAAACAATACCTACTATTATTTCATTTTCATGTAGATCTTGACCTATAAGAATTTGATCAGTGATTGTTCCAAGTTATAATGGTGCTGATCGAATGGTGGTTACCACCATTGAGTTGTTACCTGGAGAAGTGACTAGATGCAAAGCAATCAATTTTCTCTGTTTTTCCCCCTCTCAATTTTCAACTTGTCACAATATATGTTGTTTTTCCATTTCTGATTATGATAACTCTCAATATGTTTATAGTAGTTTAAAACTGAATGTAATCAAAGTCAAACTGGATTATTACAATATAAAGTATAGGGAGTTTGTAATCATTTTTAATAGAGGAGCCTGGAAAGAAATACGTATAAAAGGGTTGAACCTAGGTTTTCAGGAACAGCATATTATTTTTTCTAGGCTGTTCTACTAACTACAGTTGAGGAATTCTTACTACTTATAAAGTTAAATATTTAGGAGATATTTAAAACAGATTACATATACCAGAAATTAGAACTTTCATTTCTAATATTGGTTTTACATAGAAAGTATAGAAATGACATAAACAACATTTGTGAACATAACTACAATGAAATAGTATAGTTTGTATCTTTTGTGCATTGCCCAGAACCACTTCTGTGAGTGGATAGCTATAGGCAGGTAGTTCTCAACTTACAACCATTCTTTTAACAATGGTTTGAAGTTATAACAGCCTTGGAAAAAATGAATTAATGACTTATCCTTAAAAATTCATTGCACTTTCCCTGTAGTCACATGATGGCAATACAGGTACTTGGCAATTAGTTCACATTTATAATGGTTGGAATATCATGCAGTCATATTATCACAATTTATGACCTCCCTAGCCAGCTTCAGACAAGCAAATTCAGTTAGGGAAGCTGGATTCACTTAACACCCATATGATTCACTTAATGACAACATGTTTCATTTAACAACTGTGTTAAATCAGATCATTGACATGATGATTCACTTACTGACTGCTTCATTTAATGATAGAAATTCTGGTCCCAATTGTGGTTGGACAAGAATTATACAATGGTTGAAATAAACACATAACCAACCAACCGACCGGGAAGTCTTTCCATTGTGGAAGACTTTCACTGTGAATAATGCTTTCTGTACCTTTCTATAAGATGCAGTTGATTGACAAAAGTAGTTCATACCTATTCTTTCCATAGTTTTTCAAGGCTTTTGAGAAAGTATTTTGTATATGATGTATGAATTTTGCATGGTATTGAATAGATTTTTTTTATTTTAAATGATGTGGATACACATCCATTCTTCAGTTGCTTGTAATGTTTTTACTTGATGAAATTTAATAAGCTTAAATATTGACATTATTGAGCTTGGGTCACTTGAAATCGGATTGGAATTTGTTACTAACTCCTTAACAAAATTATATTCAGACATCTTTTTGATCAGTAATCAAGTCTCTGTATGTTCAGCCCCTCTGTGTTCAAAGTTTTAGTGGTCAAAGATTTGGAGAAGAGGATTAGAGACCAGACTTCTAAAGTGTGCTTTAAATATGGTTGTGATAACTAGGAAAGTGCAAAAAATAGAAAATATTTCTAAAAAAACTTCTAAAATCAAACAAAACAATCCCCCGGAATGTTTTGTGCTGTCCCAGGTTTTAATCAAAATAAAATTTTAGAATGATTTTCATGAGGAAGTAGAAAGACGACTCTTTCATTTTCTCTCTTCATTCTTCCTCTCAGCAGTTGCCTATTAAGAGGAACCTCTATTTTCCTCTCCCTTAATTTCCTAATGCCCTCCCTTCTCTTCTTCCTTTACCTGCTGCCATTGATATCTGTGGGTTTTTATTGCTCTTACTCCTTTCATTCCAAGAACTACCCAGTATTTCTGTGGTTTAGTCAATATCTGGAACAAAACAACAATTTCATTTTGGTGCAGATAAAAACTTCTTGAATATTTGTGTTCATGTGTTGCAACTATTTTGTGTATGTAATATTACATACATTATTTTTTTGCACATTTCTACTAATAATAATCATTAATTTCTTCATACCAAGAGAAAATATGAAGGAGTATATTGAACTATTGTACAGTAAAGATGTCATCACTCAGTGCCCCTTAGAAACATATCCCCTACTTATAAGATCTTGCATACTTGGGTACTTATAAGGTACTCTCTTAGTACAGGTAGTCCTCAACTTACAATAGTTAATTTAGTGACCATTTGAGATTACAGTGGAACTGAAAAAAGTGATTTATGACTGTTTTCACATTTATGACGGTTGCAACATCTCCATGGTAACAAGATCAAAATTCAGTTACTTGGCAACTGACTCATTTATGATGGTTGCAGTGTCCCCGGGTCACGTGATCCCCTTTTGTGACCTTCCAACAAGCAATGTCAGTGGGAAAGCCAGATTCACTTAACAACCATGTGACTAACTTAACAACTGCAGTGATTCACTTAACAATTGTAGCAAGCAATGTCGTCAAATGGGGCAAAAACCACTGAAGTTTTGGCCTCAATTGTGATTGTACATAGAGGATTACTTGTACTAGAAGGAGAAATTACATTAGCATTCCAGTCCTTGCCAAGATGAAAGGCTACAGGAATTGATGGAATACTTACAGAAATATGGCAAGCAACAGAAGAAGGATCAGTAAAGATTCTAACCAAGCTCTGTTAGAAAAGTCTAGAGAATTATGCAATGGCCAACAGATTGGAGAACATCAATCTGCATATCCCAAAGGTGCTTTTTCAGGAGACAACTGGACTTACCTATTTTTTCTTTGGAAGATGAAAAAGCACCTTTGAGACAACCATGACCTGGTTGACTGAGAATCTCTACAGATTTCCATCAATCTGCATACTGAAATAAGGAGATTTATGATGCAAACTATTGTACAATATCCTTAATTTCACAAGCTACCAAAATAAAGCATATAATCATCCAATGCAGATTAGAGCCCTATATAGGAAAAGAGTACCAGATATTCATGCTGGCTTTAGAAAAGGAATAAGGAATAAGACATTATTGCTGAAGCAATGAGAAAGCCCCCAAAAATATCCCAAGGAATTCACTATATGCTTAATTCATTATATAAACACTTAAAATTGTTGAACATGTAAATGTGTAATTTGTGCTTAGAAAAATGGGAATCCTAAAAAAATAACAACTAATTGTCCTAATGAGAAAACTATATATAGCCAGGAAGCCACAATATGGACAACACACGATGAAACAGACTAGCTTCAGGTTAGCAAAGGAATGAGGCAACACTATATACTCACCCTTTTTTATTCAATCCGTATACTGTATATGCATGTATATATTTTAAAGGAAGCTGGATTGAAAGATGAACATTATTTTAAAATTCGAGGAAGAAACATAAATAACCTGTGCTATGCTGATAACGCAACATCTAGTCCTTAACTTACAATGGTAAGGGAGCCCAGAATTTCAATTATAAGTCATGATGGTCATGAGTTGAGACACCCATGTGGCTGGGCCCAATTTTATGACTTTTTGCAGTGGTTGTTAAATGAATGCCACAGTCATCAAATGATCCATATTGTCCCAGGGGTGTTTTTTTGCTAGGAAAAATACTGGCTGGAAACTGGTAAAAGCATAAATCATGGCCACATGACTGGAACACTGCAACAAGCCATAAACTGAGTAAATGTCAGAAAAATCCTTCAAGAACAGCTGAACTTTATATAGCTTATCAGAATCAGTTTAATTGATGGCAGGTGTTTACTGACTATTATTTAACATCACTTTGAAAGTGATTGGTTAATTCTGAACATAATCACATCCCTACTTATAAGAGGGTGTGCACATTTATGCAGTCATATCATGTAAGATTTTTTATTTCTTCCCCCTTAAAAGATTTCAGTTTGTTTTTTAATTGAATTGTATGCCTTATATGTTATATTAAAGGTGGGGAAAATTCTGAAGTGATTAAACTTGATCTGATTTTTTATCTCAAAAATCTGGCATTTTAACAGGGGCGTGAAGGCTTTTTACATCCATTGTTATATAGCTTTTTATGTACAATTTTAGCCAATTTATATTTCAAGGCAAATGCAATAGATTCAATAAGCTGCTTATTCTGCAATCATAAATCAAGCAATTTGATTTGAAAAGAAATCCATGGTACATTTCAGAGAATGGAAACATTTAATGCCAGTTGTGGTCTTTCCTACTTATGAATATAGTCAGCCATGGATATACAGTATCTGCTACACTAATATACTTTCAATTAATGCATTGTTTGGGATTTTGTTTTTGAAAAAGATCCAGAGAATGTATAATCTTAAATTCTCATTCAGAATTTTAATAGGTTTTTCATATATATTTGTATGGTAGTTAGTAAAGTTTGAGATGCTCGTGCTTATTTTATAAAGCCCTATGATGCTTTCAAATGAATTGAGTCATTTCCTACAGTGTGTGGAGTGTAAGACATAAAACAGATGGCTCTTCCTTCTTCTCCAAAATCCAGTCTGATGTCTGTCTTTTTGATGTCAAGCAGATTTTCCCAGGCTTTTTTAGACAACTTTACTTTTGTTTTGCTGCGCCCCCCCCCCCAACCCGGTGTGTGTGTGTGTGTGTGTGTGTGTGTGTGTGTGTGTGTAGATGGAAGTGGTTTCTGAGGATAAAATAATCTATTGTAGGTCTCCTCGCATTGGTGGATCCAACAGGTTTTTTTTATGACTTATTTTCTTATAATAGAAACGGACTGGGGCATTTTCACTTACTATCATTCTTGATTTATTTTTCCTCACTGGGTCCACTGACTATTTCTGCCATTCCTTTCTGCTACCTGAAAAGAACTTAGTAACACTTTGAAGTCATATTTTCTCTTCCTCTCCATCTTTTCTCCTTCTGCATTATTTTCTCTACTACCTCATGAGGAGTAATGAGAAGTTACAGCTGGTTCAAAAGGCCCACATTATAGTAGGTCAAGCATGCTTATACAAATGTAGGTAGTTCTTGATTTAGGACCAAAATTGAGCCAGAATTTCTGTTGTAAGTTGTTGTGGTCATTAAGCAGGTCACCATGTGACCTGACTAAATTTTACAACCATTTTTACAATGGTCATTAAGAAAGTCACCATGGATGTTGAACAAATCTGATATATCCAATGGGTGTTCCTTTGCCATTTTCTACACCAGAACTATCAATTAATTCAAAGTCTGTGAATTCTACATCTGTAGCATTCATATTTCTTTCCAATGCACCTACTGCTTTCAGATCACATTCACTTTGTGAGTTTAATTTATCTATGTCTAGATGTAGTTGAATATTTTCCATAACCATTATCATTTCATCAAACTTTTGAAAAATATTTCAAATAAGTTGCATTTTGCCAAAGTCTTTTTTCAAATGTCAGCCACATTTGCTTGCCTGTATCCTGATAAATTGCTGTTGTGTGTAACTTGGCAATGATAGATAAAAGAACACAGGAATCCTCAGAATGAAAAAAAATTACTAAAAAGGCATCTTCAGAATAAAAAAAAACAAACCTAAAAACCCCAGGGAAGATATTTTCTATATATTTCAATCCAAAATTTAAAAAAGAATTAAAAAAATAAGCTTCAAACATTTTACAAATTAGTAAAATACAAAAATACTATAGTGAGAGTCCAAAATAGATGTAAATCAGATGAAAATTCTTTCATTATCTCAGAACATGCCATGTTTTCCTTATGAAAAAGCAGAAGTTATTCAGAACAATAGTATAAATCAAAGAGAAGAAAAAGAACAGATAGGGTCCAGCAGGGGGATAAAATAAATCAGCATTCAACCAGCTGGTCAACTTTTAAAGATAAAAAGTAAAATAAAACAAAAGGTGCAAAAAGTGAAGTTTAAACTCAGGCCTGTTTAAGAAAACGAGCTACCAAGAGGAAGGATGGATATCCATGTGTTTCTGACCACTCCCAGAGGGAACTGAAATCTTTGCTCCAGATTCCCCAAATGGGTCCATGATCTCCGAAAGCCGTCTTGGGTCATTCCTAAATGCTGCCATTCAAGTCCATGAAGCAGCACTACCAAAGAATCGGCATTGGCAGCAAAACTGGCATATCATTGGCAGGAAAAAGAAAAGTTCCTATTATTCAGCAGTCATTTTGGGGAGGAGTCTCTTCTATTTAATATAGACTATTTTCAATATTCCAAGCTAAGTAAATAGCAATAGCATTAGCACTAGCATTTATATACCACTTCATAGTGCTTTATAGCACTCTCCATGTGGTTTACAGAGTCAGCACATTGCCCCCCAACAATCTGGCTTCTCATTTTACTGACCTCAAAAAGATGGAAGGCTGAGTCAACCTTGAACCCAGTCAGGATACTGGCAGCGGGCAGAGTCAGCTTGCAATACTGCATTCTAACGATTGTGCCACCATGACATTAGAATGTCAATAATCTTTAATTATATAAATATTACTGTATTGAAATTGAAATGATGCAGTATATCAATATTTATAATAATTCAAATAAAAGGAAAGAAAAAAAGCAAAAATATTTCATATTTTAATACTTAACTATTACATACACACACGTGTGTGTGTGTGTGTGTACTCATGAGAAATAACAGTGCTTCTAATGTCAGTGTAATATATCATGTTTTTCATGCAGCTAAGGTTATTATTATCATACTGAATAGAAGATAATAACAGAGATAAAGGGACTTTGGAGGTCTTTTAGTCCAACACCCTGCTCAAGCAGGAAACCATATGCCATTTGAGACAAATGATTGTCCAATGTCTTCTTAAAAACTTCCAATATTGGAGCATTCACAACTTCTGGAAGCAATTTGTTCCTTTGATTAATTGTTCTGTCAGGAAATTTCTCCTTAATTCTAGGTTTCTTCTCTCCTTGATTAGCGATCAGTCACCTTGATTAATGATTGATATGATGAAGAAACTTCCATTGATGATTTAGCAAGGGGATCAATTGCTAAAATATGAGTTATAGCATCTTGATTCAAATTCCATGATTTATGTAATTGTATCAGAAATCACTGTATAAATTCATAATTATATAATGGTGTTTGCATCATGATGTACCACATATGTGATAGAACTTTTCAGTCTTCATGATTTGTTGCAAACACCTTTCGTTTCTATATAATTACAGAATAATGAACTTTGGCCACAATATATGAATACTGAGTTCTCTTTGCTGGCAGCTTTAGAATTCCAACAGAATTTTTGGTTCATTAAAACAAGAAACCAATTAGATTGTCATTTCACTTTTTCTGTACAATGTATGAAGTGTTTTACATAATTCTGGTTATCGCTCTTTCATGTTTAAGAAGATAGAATACCACTACATAGAGTAGTTTCTTCTCCTCCATTTATGCTTTTTCCTGCAAGTGTGTGCTGCTGTTCTCTCTTAAGGTTAAATGGCTGTGGTTACCAGTGAAACAAGGTGCGTACATATGCCTATCAAGATACCATGAGCCACTTTTTAAATGATTATGTGTGTACCTTCATATTTAGCAGTACATCTTGTGTAGGATTTGCCTAGCCCTAAAAATTATTATATAAAAATATAAATAGCAATTATATAAATGAAGTAAGTAAATATCAAACTAGATACAAATAAGTGTAATTAATGGATATGCTGGTATTTTGTTTTTCTTAGAATAATATTATTTTAAAAGCCATTATTGGTTCTCCAGAAAGAGTAAATGAGGGAATATATTAAAATGGAAACATAGCACACTGGGTTAAAGGAGTAAAGATACGTAAATAAATATGTTACTTCAATCAGTTGAAGTAACATTTAAATTAGTTTTAAAGGGGAAAAATTTAAAATACCAGATTTGTCCTTATCTATTATTTTTATTTATAGCAAAATTGTAATCAAATTATTACATGGCAAGGTTTTTGACTGGTTTTTTTATGTGTCTTTGTAAAATACAGTTAGAAAATCTAATGCTGGATAAAGATGGACACATAAAAATTACAGATTTTGGACTTTGCAAAGAAGGAATCACAGATGCAGCTACTATGAAAACATTCTGTGGTACTCCAGAATATTTGGCTCCAGAGGTATGTCAGTCCTGTCTTACATTTTCTTTAATCATAAATGCTTTGGAATGATAATCTTTATATTTTAATACTTGCAGATACTATTACAAAGGATACTGTATTTATTACAGGTTTTGTTTTGGGAATTTTTAAAATTGTAGTTTAAACTTAGTTAAAAGTGTAGTTAAACACTAGCATATGCATTACAATTTACAATTAATTTACAATTTCTGTAGCAGAATCTGTCTGCCATATAAATTGTAAACGCTCTCTCTCTCTCCCTCCCTCTCCCTCCCTCCCTCCCTCCCCCTCCCCCTTCTTCTCCCCCCTTTCTCTCAAAGGAATCTTCTTTTTTCTTTCTCTTTTAAAGCATTTATCTTTTCACACATAGAAAAGTAAAGCTAATTCACAAAAGTTCACAAATTAGATGAAATAAAATGAGATGAGAATTTTATTTCCAAATGAAGTTTAGAGAAAATTAAATGAATATTGCTGATATAACTGTATAAAAAGAGTTGTAGCTTAATCTAAATAATTTGTCACCTTAAGATAACAGCAAGTTAACAAGTTTTCATTAATGTTTATTTAAAGGTCATCGTTAGAGTATATTTGTCTCTTAAAACCAAAAAGGTTTTGAAAGCAAGATTTTCATTATGATCTTTTTCTGCATCTTGTGATCAAACCTGGAAACCTGTGACCAGCTCTGGATGGGTACATGCATACCCATTATTCTTTATGAATTCTATGCATCTTATGTATGAATTATATGATGTTTAGAAGGTTGAAGAATCTTCTACAAATGAGGATTTTTATGGGAACCACTTAGTAAGACAGATGGACAATAAGGTTCCTGTTGGCAGAGCTTCATTGAGAGTTTGGCAATAAATCTCAGTCTAGAAAATAAAACCTGCTCTTAAGAGCTACGGAAGGGAGTCAAGCTCAAAGTTCTCTTAGATATGTTGTTTTTAGAAGCTTTTTTATCGAAGTTCAGCTGCTTTATTATAATTAAGCCTTTTTCTATGTAATAGTTCCAGGATTTACATTTTATGTGTCTTTCTCCTTTCCTTATGTGATAATGCATTTTTTCTTTGACTTTTTAAAAAAAGAATTTAGAATAACTTGATTGTCCCTTTGAATATACATTAATCAGTATACATTAAAATGAAATTTTGTTGCATGCAGCTCTCAAAGGGTCTCCACCTCTAATATACACTACATAAACATGACAAAATAAATAAATAAATAAATATGCATATACATATATGACATATACATGTATGACATGGAGAAACAACACAGTCTAGTTCGGATGTACACATGTACATGGTGATAGAAAAAGAATCTTACGAGTTTACCAGACGGATGGCATAGGGAATAAAGCTGTTACAATTTCTGGGGAATAAAACTGTTACAATTTCTGGTAGTCCTGCTAGAAATACTTCTAAACCTCCTCCCGGAGGGAAGCAACAGAAACAGACCGTGAAGTGGGTGTGTGGGGTCTCTAACAATGCTTTGAACTCTAAGCACATAGTGCTTATAAGCAGTATCCTGAATAACAGAAAGCAAGCTTCCTATCATCTTCTCGGCTGCCCTTACCACTCTCTTTATGGACTTCCTATCTGAGGCACTGCAGCCACGAAACCAAACAGTGATGCAGTTTGTTAAAACGTCTCAATCGTGCCTCTGTAAAAAGTGGCCAGGACAGAAGGAGAAAGATGTGCTCTTCTCATCTGACATAGGAAATGCAGATGCTGATTTTCACATTCACTAAGAATGATGTGTGGAGAGACCAATTCAGATTGTTCGTTATCTGCACCCCCCAGATACTTAATACTATTGACCACGTCTACAGCTGCATCCTTGATACTATATGACTATGCCAGCTCTTTCTAAAATCTATGATAATCTCCTTTGTTTTATTAACATTTAGAATCAGGTTACTTTTATTGCATCAGTCCACCAGAGCCTTCACCTCTTCCTTATATGCATTTCCATTGCCGTCCTGGATAAGATCCACCACTGCCGTGTTATCTTCATAATATGATTTGTAGCAGATTTGGCACAGCAGTCATGAGTCATCAAGATGAACAGTAGCGGACTCAAGACACAGCCCTATGGGGAACCTGTACTCAAGGAGATGGAGTTGGAAACTTTTCTTCCAACTCCCACAAACTGGGGCCTATCAATAAGGAAATCCAGTATCCAATTACACAAAGGAGTATTAAAACGTAATAGGCCCAGTTTGTTCACCAAATGCTGAGGAATGATTGTGTTTTAACACCAAAGTAAAATCAATAAACAGCATTTGCACATGAGTATTCTTGTCCAGGTGTACCAAGCTATAGAGCAGTTCTTCCTATAGGCAAACTATAATGAGTCAAATAGAGGGGAAAGGCATGAAACCATATAGTCCTTTACCAATCTCAAAACAAATCTAAGATGTGGAAGAGACCTGTTGGGTTTCAATAACACTTTTGTCTATTTTCAAGCTCTTTCTAGCTTAGCAGATTCTTTCCTTATATCTATATTCCTTCTTAGTTTTCTTTTACCTGCAGAATTAGAGCAGCATTGGAAACATTATCCATCTTTTTGAAACACTTGTTCTGTTCTTAGCTTTCCATAGGTTTAAACTGCACAAAATTACTTCATGCGATTCTCCATGACATTTTGAATGATTAGTCCACATCTTTAAAAGTGATACAAATGATATCCATTCTTCTTGACTTTTGGACCTGTGACTCTAGAGTTCCATTTTGTAAATATGTCAAGTTGTGATAGTAATGTTCCACCTACTCCTTGTATGTGAGAAAAAGACACTTCAACATTTAGGAAGCAGGTAGTTTGATAGAACAGATCATCTTCTCTTAGGGGCTTGTGAGAGGACAAGGCATTCCAGGTCTGCCACTATCTTGGGGTTGCATTCTAACTTCAGAATCATTTGTTATAGGCTTACTCTTTCTGTAGCCCAGCTCTTGATCTTGTTTCAGTACCAGCTTCTTAATGATACCTGCTAATAATTTTGTCTAAGATCCATATCTACTTCTGGACACTCTGGGGAATATAGATCTCTCCCCAGAATTCTAAAGTGGCCAAGATTATGAGATAGTTAAATAAGCAGCATGTTCTGAAACATGGTGGAAAAAATGGAAGGAACAAAATAAGTTTTCTGATAGGCCATATCCAGGTCTAATAGTGTTTGTTAGAATTTTGGGAGTATATTTCTGCTTTCTTCATTTTGAAACTGTTCTCTTCTTCTGGAAGTGGTATCCATAGTGGAAATTAGGGAGGCACCCACTCTAATCCATAGACCTATAAATACTTAAATCTCATCCCTTCTATAAATGATGGGATTGCCATTACAAAATTCTTTTGGACTGATGCATAGCACATTCCTCTCCTCTTCCTAGTAGAAGTTTAAGAGATACTCTGGATTCCAGATTTGAGTGATAGCCATCCTTATCTTGGGACTACCACTCCCATGAACATTCATGGTCACTGCCTATCTTGCAGTTATAAGCTGGAACTGTTTAATATACTGTTTAATATAACAGGAAAGGTTGCATCAGCCATAGTATAATTAAAAGATATGTTAATTGACTAATATATTCTGTTTTGTCCATTAGTCACTTTGTCTTGATATCAAAGTCTGTAGTTTTGCCAATAGAGCCTTTCTTAGAAACAATCCTCTGTAGTTACCATCTGGTATCCTCCTTCAGCTATATAACTTACCAAAACACTTAGTAACTAAGGTGCTTTAAGGTCTGATGCTGGCAAGATAGGTATAAGCAATGGGCATTAAATAAAGTTATCACAATTGTCAAGGTTCCAAAATGACTTACTAAGTTCTATTAATTAAGGAGGATTGAAGGAAGATGCCTAGAATGTAAACCTTTGAGAATATATATAAATGGCTGATATCTTTGTATAGCAGTGGGCAGTCAACCATATGTGTGAAGTTTCATTCTTATCTGCAGCAAAGATTCTGCTCTAGTCAAGTCATATTTATGAATCTTTTGTCAAATCAAGCCAAGAGGTTGAGCTATGATCTCAGGGTTTGTAAATTAGTGATTTGTTTTTGTGCTTTGATGTGAAGCCTGATTAAAAAAAAGACAAATTTAGTGGCTCATGGTATGAAGACCCTACAAGAGCTGCCTGCTGATCCATTCAGTGCTTGAGGCTATGAGTCCAGAACTACATCTTGGAACATATTTTCCTTTCTTTCTCAATCTCTAATCAATTATATATTCCATCTATGGAGAACAGCCCATATATGGAAAAGTTATTCCAGATGGTAGCTGTGTTTGGCCTTGAAGTATATTAATATCAGCAACCAAATCAATAGATGACTCATATTGTTCACCTCAACAACAATAATTCCTCAACCTTTGTTACAGCCTTTGCTACTACTGCTTAAGATAACCATGGATGCATGATAAAAGTCAGATTAAGTACCCCTCCCCCAAAATTAAAAACCTGTATAAAAGAAATAATGTCATTGTTTTTTAAATTCATCATCTATCGGTATCTCTTAGAGCAGTTCATGGAATATCTTGTACTCAAGGTCATTTGGTGCCAGTAAACAGACAGAAAACTAGGTATCTTCAGGATGGAGTCTCTCCATAGCCTTGCCCATTTCAATAGAATAGAATAGAATAGAATAGAATAGAATAGAATAGAATAGAA